TCAACTACCTTTTGGAAGGACCTGGTTATATTTTTGGACTAGGATGGATTTTTCTAGGGGAAGAATTTTCATTTTCTTGGGTAAACAAAAGGTTGTCAAATAACTGGAAAAAGTCAAGAGGTGGAGAGCATGCAGGTAAATGTGCAGCTGTAGGCTGTGAGAGGCATTTACCCTGGACCTTACTGCTCCGCTGTCTTGACCTAGGGTACCAGGGTATGAAGCTCTTTGCCCTGCGAGTGTCTCCTGCACACATCTAACCAAGAAGGTTTGTTGTGGGAGATACAAGTTACAGATTAGAAAACAAAGCAAAACAAAACTGGTCTTGCTTTATCCTGATACAAGACAAAGAGGAGCCCTATCTGGGATGTGGAAGGTTAGGTGTAGACATGGAGAACTTTGCTGGCTGGACTATGCTGTCTGCATGTACTTTTATTTCCAGTGGGGCAGAGGGAGGTTAACAAAAAGGTCAGCCCTTGGAGGTTAGGAATTTGGCTTCATTTCATCCCCAACATCTTGTGCAGTGGGTAGTGCCAGAGTAGGACCCTCATTAAAGGTTTGCTACAATTCTCCCGTGGACTTGCTTCTGACTCATATTGACCCCACAGAGGAGGATAGGACTGCCCGGTTGGCATGCAGAGGCTGAGCCTGCCCTGAAAGATTGCCATACTTTGCACCTGTGCTCTGGCCGGTGGGTACGAACGGCCAACCTTTCCATTAGCAGCTAAGTGCTTTAACCACTGCATCACCAGGACACCTTACTTGAAGGAAAGCCCTTGCCTCATAAAGTGGAAACCGCTGAGAACCTGTGGGCGGAAGGCTGTGGATTTTCTTTTTCTTCACAGAGCCGCTGCTGCCCCCTCCTGGGGTTGAAAGGTTGTTACGGATACTTTTTAATTTCTCAGCTCCAATCTGCAACCCCAGCAATTTTTGAGACGTGGATGGGGTAGCTTGAGAGAATGCCTTTCTTCTTGTAGCTAGTACATAATCCCTTACAGAGGTATTGAGCTTTAATGGGGTTGAAAGTGGGATTATGGGCAGTACCCAGGTTACAAACCAATCTCCTATAAAGCTTATCTATTGAACATTCAGGGTATTACACAGGTAATAACAATTGGACATGACTTTGCAACACACATCAAAGCATTATTACTGTGCTGTTGTTTTTATCGTGGGCAAGAGATAGAGTGGTTACGGGGATAAATTTAGCCCTAAATCTGCAGAATTGTCATGTGACATTTTGGGGTACATTCATTTTGAATGTTGTATACCTTTCATATATGTAAGCTGTTAACTCTCAAATCTTCACCCCTAGGGAACTCCTAGAAGACTATGAATCTGGTAAACCTGGGATGAAATCCTGGTTTTCCCCTTGCTCTTGGTTGCCATTGCTAGGTGCCATTGCTTACGTACACAGTCGGAAACACTGCCTGGCCCGGCGTCCTTCTCACAAATAGCTGCTCTGTTTGAGCCCATTACTGCAGCTGCTGTGTCAGTCCATCCCATTGAACACCTTCCCCTTTTTGCCGACCCTCTAATTTACCAAGCATCATGTCCCCCAGAGACTGGTCCCTTCTGAGAACACCTCCAAAGAAAGGGAGACACCATTTCACCATCCTCACTTCTAAGGCACATTCTGGCTGTACTTCTTCCAAGACAGAGTCATTCATTCATTCTTCTGACAGTGCATCTGTATAGTCAGTATTTTTTGCCAACAACATAGTTCTTTGCCAACAATGTAATTCAGAGGCAACGATTCCTCTTCAGTCCTCCTTGTGCACTGTCCAGCTTTTGCATGCATGTAAGGTGATTTAAAATACTGTAGCAAGCGTCAGGTACACCTTCATCTTTGGAGTGACATTTTTGTTCTTTAACATTTCAAAGAGGCGTTTTTTTGGTTTTTTCCTGCAACAGGTAGTCTACAGCAGCAGTTCTCAACCTGTGGGTCCAGACCCCTTTGGGAGGTCGAATGATCCTTTCACAGGGGACCGCCTAATACATCCTGCATATCAGATATTTACATTACGACTCATGACAGTAGCAAAATGACAGTTATGAGGTAGCAACAGAAATAATTTCATGGTGAGGGGTCACCACCACATGAGGACCTGTATGAAACGGTCGCGGCACTAGGAAGGTGGAGAGGCACTGGTCTAAAGCATCGCGTCCTTTGATTCTTGACAGCTCTTCTGTTGATGCTGATTGTGGACTCAAGTAAAATGAAATCAGTATTGTCTCCACTTACCATGATACTGCATGCTGATTCGGTTGCAAGGATTTTTGTGTTTGGGGGTGCTAATTTTGGGCAGAACATTTAAACTAGATCTTACATTCTTGTTGAGGGGTGAATAGTCTTCCCTTCTGTGATTATAAGAATGAAATGAGTGTGCAGGGAGCCCTGGTGGGGTACTGGTTACCCTTTGGGCTGCTGACAGGAAGCCGTTTGAAGCCTCGGTTGCTCCACAGCAGGAACTGTTTCGACTC